TAACGGTGCATTCTGGGAGGGTGATCCCTCTCGTGCAGCGGTGCCTGATGGGAGAAATATGTAGTACAGTAAGTCCCCCATGTAGTCCCCCCCTGTACAACCCCTGTAATGTCTGTTTGGAAACCCCTTGCATGGGGAATTGCATAAATACTGTGACCTGTGATTAAAACCTCAGTTGACTCCCAGCCTATGTGTCGTCTAGTTCTTGGGAAGGAAGGGTTATTACAGTGCTGTTTGGATTATTATATGCTGATTCCCTATGCAAGGGGTTTCCAAACAGACATTACAGGGGTTGTACAGGGGGGGACTACATGGGGGACTTACTGTACTACATATTTCTCCCATCAGGCACCGCTGCACGAGAGGGATCACCCTCCCAGAATGCAACTGCTATGGGATTATCCTCGCGCAGGAACGCATTCACACAAAATCCACAGTTGGGTGTACAATATACGGTGGATTTCATTAATTTAATGGGTCGCTCGTAGATAGTTAGGTCTGGGCATCATCGTGAGACAAGCCGCTCAGATCCCAGCTAAAATAACCGAACGCCGCACAGAAAACACCTTTCTTTAAAAACACATGAAAAGAACCGATTGTCTTTAATGAACCTGGTCCTGAAACTCCCGAACGTCCTGGAGGCTTAACGGTGTTCGTGCCGTCGAATGACTGTGGGAATGCTATGCGTTCGACGACACGGACCCGCTGACGAACCAGGGATCCAAGATGGCCGCCCGCCGCATGGTCGGTAGTCGAACGACGGCCACCCAGGAGAGCCTCTAATAACCGATTGCAACAATGTTGCAATCGGTTAACTAGCGCCACACGCCTCTAAGTGTGGGCTATTAGGGGGTATCGCATTCGTTTCACGAACGGCCCTCCAAAGTGCCGTTCGCAAAACGAACGGGAATCCCCATACAAACCGCCATTTGCATTCGGCGGAACAGATAGGTACAGGCAATGCAGGGAATACATGAAGCAGGCACATACAGGTACAATGCATCTCTCTCCCGACCTATAGGCAACCCTTAAAGGCATAGTGTCCAGTTATAGTCCGAGTGGCTAGGTTTGCCACAGTTTTAGAGTTATGAAAGTTGGGTAGAAAGTATGTTTTAACTGTATGTATAATTGAGTTTCCTCTCAGGATAAGGGGAGGGAATATGTGGGATGTAACTGTGATGTGATTGGTTGTTTTATACCTCCCTGTGGGCGGTCCTGTATTTGCAAGACTGTAATAAAACCAGGCTGGGTGTGCCAGCACCTCAGACCACTGCTTGACCCTCAACACGGAGCCTTGTCTCGTTCTTGGGGGGATTCACTGTATGCTGTTAGAGACTGATTGCCAGGAGTGTAAGCTGTTCGTCTGCTTTTCCTGTTCGCCTGCTAGCAGCTATTTGGGAGGTTCCAGTTCGGGAGTTGGAGTGCTATTTTGTATCCAGTTCGTGAGTTTTGGTGTTCTGCAGTAGCTGTGCCTGGATCTCTGGAAAGGGGGCCGATCGCCTAAACGGTTTTTACCTCTTGTGTGCAAAACGGTCCGTTACAAGGTCATTTTATTAATTACTATTAGTTATTATTTAGTTATTATTAGTTATTAGTTATTAGTTTTCTGCATTTTTCAAACACAAACAAATATTAACACTAAATTTGGCCAGTGTTTGTGACCAAGTGGCTACGATTGCAAATGGGCTACCACACGGTCTCAAAGTCAACGTAACCAATCTGTCGAATTTCAATGTGAAAAAACTAAAAAATATAACGTGCTATATTTGACCCTGTAACTTCCCAAAACACCATAAAACCTGTACATAGGGGGTACTGTTTTACATGTGAGACATCGCTGAATACAAATATGTGTATTTTATTGCAGTAAAAGCTAATAGTATTATGACATTTACAGTTAAAATGTCACGTAGAACTAAAAAAATAACAACATTTCTTATTTTCTCCCATTTTTAAAAATATTTTATTCATATTAGTTATGTTTCATAGCTAAATATTTAATGCCCTGTTTCCCCTGAATAAAATTATATATAATAAGTGTGGGTGCACTTAAAGGGACACTATATTCACCAGTGCAACTACATGTATTCCTGACCCTACAGTGTTAACAACACCATCTAGCCCCCCTGGGCCCCTCATGTCTCCATTAATATAGTAAAACTCTTACTGTATTTAAGCCAGAAGCTATAACTCTGCATGCTGTTTGCCTAAAAAAAAACCCAGCCTGCTGACATCAGCAGAAGTGGTAGCCTGATCCAATCACAGTGCTTCCCCATAGGATTGGTTGAGACTGACAAGGAGGCAGATCAGGGGCAGAGCCAGCATGATTCAAACACAACCCTGGCCAATCAGCATCTCCTCATAGACAGGGGCGTATTAGCCGCGAGGCAAACAAGGCATTTGCCTTGGGCGGCATTTTTCAGGGGGCGGCAAAAAACGCCGCCCCCCAAATGCCCAGGGCTAACTGACATCCCGAGCGGGCGGGCGGCTCTGGCAGGCGGGCGGCTGGCGAAGGAGCACTTCCTATGAGCTCTCTGCTCAGCTCCCTCGTGCGCCGCAGAGTGAGGCTGGGAGCCGGAAGATGACGTCATCAACCCGGCTCCCAGCCTCACTCTGCAGCCGGCGCGCGAGGGAGCTGAGCAGTCAGCTCATAGGAAGTGCTCCCTCGCCAGCCGCCCGCCTGACCTGCAGCCACCGGACCACCAGGGATAGAGACCCCCCCCCCAGCACTCCCAAAGGTAAGGAGGTTGGGGGGGATTTAAATTTAAAAAAAAGTTAATGTGTGTGTGTGTGTTTGTGTCTGACTGTGTTTGTGTGTGTGTGACTGTGTGTTTGTGTGTGTGTGACTGTGTTTGTGTCTGACTGTTTGTGTCTGTGTATGTGTCTGACTGTGTGTGTGTGTATGTGTCTGACTGTGTTTGTGAGTGTGTTTGTGTCTGTGTGTGTGACTGTGTGGTGTTTGTCTGTGTGTGTGTGTGTGTCTGACTGTGTTTGTGTCTGTCTGTGTTTGTGTCTGACTGTGTGTGTGTTTGTGTATGTGTATGTGTCTGACTGTGTGTGTGTGTATGTGTCTGACTGTGTGTGTGTGTTTGTGTGTGTGTTTGTGTCTGACTGTGTGTGTGTCTGACTGTCTGTGTTTGTGTCTGTGTTTGTGTGTTTGTGAGTGTGTGTGCACATGTGTCTGACTGTGTGTGTGTGTTTGTGTCTGACTGTGTGTGTGTTTGTGTCTGACTGTGTGTGTCTCTGACTGTGTGTGTGTGTGTTTGTTTCTGTGTGTGTGTCTGACTGTGTGTGTGTGTGTGTGTGTCTGACTGTG